ATTCCTATGGAGCGCTTGAAGGGATAGAAAAAAAAGAACTGGTTTCGGATTTTTTATACAGGAGAAGAAGAATCCTTTTTCTTTTAAATCACGAAGCCTGACTGGATTACTGAGCAAAAAAGAGTCCCGAAACGGTGGGAAAGGGGTGTTCGTTTATCTTTTCTCTGAGTTTTTAAACCTTTTCCCTAGCATAGCCATTAACATGACCATGCTCTTTTCTCTTACTGCAAAGTTCTGTGTTGATTGACACAGACAGACCTGTGGATACAACCCAACGAGAGAGCTTTAGAAGGGGCGGAGGCCAAAAAAAAAAATATTATTATCAGTTTTCCAGCTTACCTGTTTTTATATATCTTATGGTTACCATTATCATTACCACTGCTACTCCTACTACTTATCTATTCACTCTTGAACTTTCTGTTTCGCAACTATGTCTTACGTGATTTATTTTACTAGATAGATATCTTTCATATATTTCGTGCTGTACGGGTTGGATTGGAGAAACCAACCCCTCCAACTCGCTTTGAAGAACACAAGCGGTATGATATATTCTTATATACTTCGGGGAACGAAGGAAACGAAGGCCTCTCCACAGCTGAGCGTTTCTCGGGTTTTCAATTTTTCATGGTTTCCATTTTTTGGGGTGTGGGGTAGAGTGTTCTTTCTGGGTTCATCAGACATACGCTTGTGCGGGATGTGATTATCAAACACCACCACCGACAAATACATTGTTGTAACGTTGTCTTCCATATAAAAAGATATTAAGATAAAGAACCAATCTATCATAAAGAGATACATAATAATCGTTCACTCGTTCATATTATAAACCCGAATCTATTTCACTCGACCTCTCCTTTCTTCCCTTCCTCTCCCTCCTTTTCTCACCTCCCCAACCGATCTCCCCAACTCCCCAGGTCCCTACAACAGCTCGTCTTCCCCTCCAACTCCTCCATTGCCTTCTCAACAACGTCCTCCTCATGCACGCCACGCACTCTCTCGCACTCCACGAAGAAGATGTACTGCCAGGGCCTAATCTGGCCCGGGCGCGAGACGATGCTGGTTAAGTTGAGGCCGTGGCGGCGGAAGATCGTGAGGGCGTCGACGAGGGCGCCGGGGGTTTCGTGGGCGATCATGAAGGAGATGAGGGATTTTACTTTTGTGGGCGCTATGGTGGACGAAGGATAAAAATCCTGCTCGCCTTCTCTCGTCTTCTCACTATGGCCATTCCGCAAGACAATGAAGCGCGTCATGTTATCGGCGCGGTCCTCGATATTGGCAGCTAGGATGTATAGGTTGTGGTGCGCGGCTGCGAGGGAGCTGGCGATTGCGGCTGAGATGCCTTCGCCGTTGTTGCCGTTTTCGCCTTTACCATCACCACCACCCCCACCACCGTAGCCGGGCAGGGTATTGCTACCGCTTTTCGCGACGATGCTTGCTGCTTTGGAAGTTGAGGGAGCGTCTTGTCTCTCTGTGCCGCGGAAGTATTTGGAGAGGAAAGCCTCGCATTGGCCCCATGCTTGAGGGTGCGTGTAGAGTCTTGAGATGCGACGGTAGATGGTTTCGGGATGTGATATGTCTGTATATACATGTACGATTAGGGTGACCCTTGGTAGAATCTTGGGATGCACGAGAGCGCATTATATATGTACCTGAAGCAGCGTCCTCGTTACGGATAAGCAGACAGTGGTGGACGGTTAGATAGTACTCGCCGCAGACGACGATGTCATTGTATCGACTATCGCGGCCAGCCAGGAGGTCAAGAGTCTGCACGACGGAGCCGTTTGTGGAGTTCTCAAAGGGGATGACAGCGTAATCTGCCTCCGTGGATTGGATGGCGGCGAAGGCGTCCGCGAAGCTGGGTTTGGGGAGCAGAGTGATTGTTCTTGCTGGAGAGGTGGGGAAGAGGTCTAGAGCTGCCTGTTTTATTGATGCAACATTGTTTCAATTTCTTAGTTAATTTACCTCTCAGGGTAGAAATAGGCTTGTGGAAGTTGGATTGGAAATTCATATCAAAACTGGTTTATTGCTTTCTGACCTGGTGGGAGAATGAGGCCAGTGGTCCGAGAAAAGTTACCCTCGACTCCCTTTGAGCGGGAGACGGGGACATGCTGCGGAGTTGTACCTTCGCCCAGTTGAAAAAGGGATGTATATCAAACTAGCCTTTCGAATGGGATATTTAATACGTGAGCCAATTGCTGCGAATTGAAGAGTGTTCTTCCGTAGTTCGTGAAAATGGTTACCCCCATTCGGTATCTAATATTTTAAAGCGTGGTGGATATTTAGTTATTATTTATTTTGGTAGGGGAAAAAGTCCCCGCAGATTTATGGAAGTAAATATTCACAACCACCACCACTCTGAAAATTGAGTAAATATCCAGCAGCCGTAACTACCCAAGGTTGCTGGCAAGCCCAATGTCGCCGATTCCGCAGAACCATGTTGGCTAACATATTTAAACATGTCAACAACCACCTCGCCGCCCCTGGACTGCTCCAGCGCATACAATCCCAATCCTGCCGCAGAGTCTCCTCCTCTGCTCTCCGCACACAGCTAAACCAGCTACCCCAACGCCGTCTTCCGCTCTTCTACGACTATCTCACCCCACAACAATCGCATCTCCTCAATCTCTCTCTTGCCGGCCTCGTCCCCGCCACAGCAACCGTTAACAATGCCAAATCACCTCCAACGACTGCATCAACAACCCTCCCATCCTCAGCTTTGGACCCACTGCCTATGCCTTCCGGTCATCACTTAGTTTACTTTCCACCACAGATCCCCATCTCCCAGCTCTTACCAGACGGTACGGATAGATTACATTCCCCAGGTTCACCCTTTAATAGACGGATGTGGGCCGGGGGTTGGGTGAGATTGTGCAAAAATAATCACAATAATGATTGTAATACTGCTAGGTCTGGAAAGCATAGACCGCTGCTACTCAACGGGCAACGTGCTGTGTGCATCGAAGGTATTCGAGATGTGTCAGTGAAGGGCAAGGAGGGGGATGAGAAGGTGTTTGTGGGTGTTGAGAGGCGGATGGCTGTTGTTGGGGAGGGGGAGGATGAGGAGACGATTAGAGGAAGGGTGTGGACTGAGGATGAAGCAGAGTGGGGAGACGCGGCTGTGGTTGAGCGGAGGAATTTGGTTTTTATGAGGGATAGGGCGGGGATCGTGGACGGAGGCGTAAATGATACACGTTTTAGGAGGGTTGTAAAGGGTTTGTTTTAGAAGGATTCTTCTTCTTCTTCTTCTTCTTTTTTTTTTTTTTTCGCATGAAGATGCCTCTTGGCTAACAAAGATCAATAGCACCAACCAACCCAGACTTTAGTCACCTTCTCATCCCATCACGGTCCCTTCTATTTCGCTACTCAGCGCTCACCTTCAACGCGCACTCCATCCACCTGGATCCCAGCTACGCTCGAGAGGTCGAGGGATATCCGGACGTACTGGTTCATGGCCCGCTTACTCTCACTCTAATGCTCACAGTTTTCCAGAACCATATATCTGATGCATCTGCTAGGCGGCCGGTAATTAGGAGCATTGAGTATCGCAACCTGGCACCCCTGTTTGTGGAACAGGAGATGAGGATATGTGCTAAGCGGAAAGGCAATGGCGAGCGTGCTAGTACTGGGGCGTGGGATATATGGGTAGAAGGGCCTGATGGAGGGCTCGCGGTTAAGGGAACTGTGCATATGTTGTACCAACAATGAGATGGAGAAGGAGATAGAGGAGAACGGCATTGAGAAAGCTTGGTAAAATTCCTCTCAAGCTTTTTCAGACGCACAAAAGCCCGGAAGCCATTTTTGTATGTTTTAAAACTTCCTCAGCCCTCTAGGGCTTCATCGTCCTTCATCCTCTCCGCCTCACTCCGCCTCTCCAACCGTCTCATCCATCTCTTTCTCTACCAGTTATCTGCTTCTATGCAACATCGTTTTTGTTAAGCTTACGCGGTGCTGCTGTGATTGCAGACTGTATTGGCTAGCGCCCAGTGACCCTCTCAATGCAGTTAAAGGGAAGACTGTACTGTGCTAGCCCTCCGCATCTTTCTCATCTTTCTCATCTTTTCTTGGGTGGCTCGGGATTTGCTTGTGCTCTTCCCGATTGGGACTTTTCTAACTCAATTAGAAGAGTTGGCGTTAGTTCGCTTGGCCCACCGCTTCTCGTTTCGTTTATATTTACACAACCATTTCACAATATGCCAAAGCAACTCACTTCCGGAGTTGTCTTCAAACTCAATTTCGTGAAGCGGAGTCACGGACCATCCGGTCGTTATCTTCATCTTTCCGGCTTCGGGGAAGCCTAGCCCAGCGCTAGATCCCAATGGCCTATCTGGTTTGGAGATTCGTCTCTCCCTTCGTTATTGGAGTATTTGGTGATACTGGATTCTCCAGAGTGCCATCTATCCATTCCAGGATAACTTACACGTACGGACAGACCAAAATGTGAAACGAAAGACGAGTTATTAAGCCCCGGAAATTTCATTATTTATAGTCCTGCCTTCATATTTCATATCCCCAACCCAAAAAGGGTTTGATGCCATCGAACGAGTTAACCATATCGTAAGCCTGCGGGTTAGTCTGACTTCCCCGAGTCGAATATGTCCTTCGACAAAAACTGGTTGTATGAGGACTTGCGAACTGGACCCTAACATGCACGTCGGGCGTTTTTAACGTGGCATCGGTTAAATGGCATTCATTACCTATTCCCTCTTTTATTCCGGCAAAAGTATTGTTCCATGTGGTGGGAGGCCACCGATGTGGTAAAGGGAGAAACGGGCATGACCACTACCAAAAGAGGGGGAAATTACAGCGTCGAATAATCCGCTCTCGGGTCCACCTTGGCAAACATTCCCCATCCAAGTTTTGCCAAAATAATGTCGGCAACAACTCACATTTTGTCACAGTGTGCGACAGATTGTCATGAGGGGACACGCCCAACAGTAAGGAATGACCACGAGAATCACTTTACAGAAGTGAACGCTTGCGAAGTTCCACCTTCCTGATTAAAGATGATGCTGTCTGACCAATCCCCAGAGTCAAAAATCGATTATCTGAACGAAATGTCTAAGGCTGCCGATGTTGTATTCTTCGTGGTCCCGGCAGCCGCCAACATTCTTTGTTGATTCTAGCATACAACGCGACAAGTGAAACGGCATAGAAAGCGGAAACCGAGGTTCTGATTCTTAGTGAAATTTCAAATAGCTATGTGACAGACAACCGGGTCGTAAGATGGCCTTTTGATCATATCTGGCAAATGTAGCCTGCTTAGGGGTTTGTGACCGTCAGTACGCCATGAACGTTGATCGAGCAGGATCCACCCCTATTTTTTGAGCTGAAGTTCTAATATCTATGTTGTGTGTGGCTGATCGTAGTAAACGCAAGTACCACTTGCAGATACGTGACAACCTGTGAAAATTAAACAAATTGATGATGTCTTGAGTAATGAAGAAATTATTGCCGGCCAGATTCTTCGCGGTATGACCATGAGAATGAGCTGGAGAGAATACTCCATAGATGGGTTCGTCGCTTAGGGCTTCTCAAATCACGGGATAGCCAGGAGCTAAACCTAAGTCGTTTGTGATAACACCCATCTTTTTCTCCCTTTATTTTACATTTTTCTCCCACACCAATGTGAGCAAAACCTGTATTTCTAACTTCTAACAACAGACTGTCCATAAATATGGATGTTTTTTGGAATGCACCTCCAGTGATCAGGTAAAACCCACCAAGACACACTTCATGTTCTACTTGCGTGAGTGCTGGTATATCAAATCATACTGACAGTTAGTTCCTTTCATTCCCACAGGACCATCACTACAGCTGCATTCGTCGAGTCTCTGCTCGTATATGGCGGTATTCTCAGTCCATTGAGAATCTTTTTCCACCCTTCTTTGATTTTCAAGGTCTTTCCGGACATCTGGAGACCAGTCACCTCATTTCTCCTGACGGACTCAGACCTGAACTTTATCTTTGATCTTTACTTTAGTAGGCTTCTTGCTTTGGTTTGCCTCGCTGTTCCATGAGAGGTGGCAACTGGTGTTTTCCTGGTGGAAGTGGAAATAATGTGGCCTCGATGCCCACTCTTCTCACTAACTCCTTTATTCTATATCAACAGTGTATAAATATGGCAGTGGTCTGGAAAAGGACTCGCCACGCTTTACTGTCCCTGGCGACTTTTTCACTTATGTTATTTTCGTAGGCACAGTGATTGTGGTAAGTGTTTCAGTTCGATTCGATTCGATTCGATTCGATCTCCTTTTTTATTCCTTTTGTTCACCCTGTTCTACCTTTACCCTCATATTTTTTACTCCCTCCGCATATCTGCCCGCCCAGCCTGATCTAGCTGAAGCGGTTCCTGGTCGTGAGGAAAATTACCCCTACATCTCGTGCAGCTCAATCATTCGCAATCAATCCTTTTATGGGCTGCATGCGGTGAAGGCATGGTGGGATTATCTGATGCGTAACCAGCTAGAGTAATTCTCTGTTTCTCGCATGGTGGTTGTGGGTCCCTACATTCCCTTGAAATCAATCATTTTACTTGGTACCCTCGCTAAAAAGTAACGTTATGAATGAACTTCTTACTTGTATTTCTATGCATGGTCACATCTACCGATATATTGTGTTACATTACTTGATTCTTCTTCTACTGTGGGAAAGAAGCTGACCAGCCCTAAATAGTTGACCGCAGGTGGCCTCCTGGGCGCGGGGATTTTCACTCAAGGTAAGAGTTAAAAATCCCTTAACATGGAACAAGAGAATGATTGTGAAGGAATAGTAATATTCCAAACTAACTCTCCTCCCCTTCAAACCAGCCCTAATAATCGCCTTCATGTACACCCACGGCCAAGTCAACATTGGCAAAAAGGAAAACTTCTTTGTCGTTCAAATCCCCGTCGAACTCGTTCCCTGGGCCACTCTGGTCCTCAGATTGGTAATTCGCGGCCCGCAATCAGCACAGATAGCGGCATGCGGCCTCGTAGCCGCCCATCTGTACGAGTTCCTAACCCGCATCTACCCCACCTATGGCCGCGGCAGGCAGTTTATATGGACACCTGTCTTTGTGAAGAGATGGTTCGGGGCCCATCGCATGAACCAGACTCATCGCGCCTACGGTGTCTCGTACCACCCTGGTGATAGGGAGACACGAGAGGCGTCAGCTTCCGGGTCGGGGAGTGGTTGGTTCTCGAGCAATTCGTGGAGTGGGAGGGGTGTTGGGCGAAGGCTTGGATGACATTCAATTTCCTTTACTTGCTCGATTGTGTTATACCATGTCTATATTCCCCCCCCTCCCAAACTTTTTTTTTTTTTTTTACGACTTTTTGCCTGTACTTTGTGTACTACTAGTAACGAGATGGATGGATGATTGAAATTTTTGGTATATCTACGGTCTGATGACAATTGCACTTATGATGAGCACGCATATCGTCCAGTACTTAGTTTATTTTTAAATATTAATTATGTATCTTTTCCTATCTTGAAAAACCGCAGCGTACCCCCTCGCTCTAAGTTTGTAACATTGTCGCCTGTTGTTTGCAACAAAAAAGTCGAATGCTATATCACGTGATATAGCGCTTTGAGGTCATTGCCCTGGGCTTTTCCAAATAAAAATTTGGACGCACTGCAAAATTGTTTGCGAAAGCCCGATATAGGAGTCAATTTTCCTCCACCCGAACAGGAGTATTCAGTCGGGGTGACGTCTAAATTGCGTTCGCCTGCTGTTTCGATCAATTTCTTGCAATCAATCAAAAA